TAGTTTAGTATATGAAGCACAGCAGAGTGCTCACCCCGCCTCCCCCACGTACCAATTATCAGGGTCTTGCACGTTACCTCTTTTCTAAAAACACATATGTACTCGAGCAGAGGTCAGTGCAATAGCCTGGAAATCTAATTGCTCTGAATATCATTTAACTCTAAGGTTGGGAAATTGCTGCTATTCTTGTATAACTGGAAGAACTTTGCTGTAGCAGCATGATCAAATGTTTAAAATAATGGGATTCCCTGTGCTGACTGGGACAACTGGCCACACCATCAACAGGATAAAGCAACCAGCCACAAGCAGACAAAGAAGGCAAACTGAAGAAAAAGTTGGTGCTCTGTGTTTGAAGTAATTTAATTACAGCCTGCATCAATCCATCCATCCTAAATGAATGTTGAATGAATCTCTGTGTGTTACATAGATGTCACAAGCTACCTGTAAAAATTCCCAGGCAGAAAGAGAGAGAGACAGAGCAACGGCCACTCATAAAGATCAGCCAGAAATCTATCACTTCCTACAGCTGTGGCTCAGATATGCAAGATTTTAGCCAAAGACTGGGTGTAGACTCTGTTCCACTCAGCCTTGATAAGGAAATGGCTCGAGCATCATAATGATCTTTTACACCACTTGTTCCAACCACCCCAGATGATACAGGAAGAGGTGAAAAGTCGTCAACCAAAAGGCCGTTCAACTTGAGCAAAAGCCTTCTCGGCACAAAAAGAGATACAACTGAATCCTCCCTGCTGTGAGCAGGGATATACTGTAGATGATATCAAAAAGTCTCTGCATGTTGAAATGAATATGCCCACAGGGTATGAACTTTGTCTGATCCAGAAGTATGATTTTGGCAGTATAAGTTTTCAGATGCTTAGATCTTGGTTAGTCGTTTTGCTTGGACTGAGAGGAGAGATACAGGTCTGTACTATGAGATGAAAGTAGGGTCACAGTTCTGTTTCAAAATCAGAGCGATCCTGGCCAGATAAAGTGAATCCAGTACGATGCCCACTTCTTTAGACTGATTTAACATTCAAAGGACCGGGGACCAATAATATGCTCTATGCTTGTAACAGAAGGACCTGTCAGTCTGTTTGTGCAGCTTTCCAGCTGTCACACTCCAGCTCAGTCCGGCACTGCTCGCAACAGCCGGCTAAAAGAGAGGAGGGATGATTAGCTGATGGAGATCTGCTGTGTTGGTCAGCCTCCCCTGACCCCACCCCCCTAAGCAGGAGAGGAAATCAGCCATGGGTCTGCTGGGGGATGTGTGGTGTCAGGGGAGGCTGACTAACACAGCAGATGGACTTTGAAAAAATAAATAAATAAATCATAAAAACTTTTTGTAAAGTCATAAGAAGAGCTGTCTTGTTGGCTCTTTGTTGTACATGCATCACAATACTGTAAAATCAGTAATATTGTAGTGTGAGCCATCATGTCCTGGATATGGAGAGATCACATCCACATGAGGGAAATACTGAGTGTAGGAGAGAAAGAGAGGGACAGCTCAGACGAAAAAGGCATAAAGATCGTGAGAAGCGCTGATGTCATTTTTCCTGCTGGGACTTGAGCGGAAACAAAAATAGAAAATAAATAAACAAAATCTTTGGTGGGAAAATAGTGCAGCTGGAGAGTAGCTGACTGGGTCACTGATGAAAGACAAAAATGAAAGACAAAAATAGCTCAATGTGTTGAGTGAACTAATCCATTGCGCTAGTTATTACCAGCCAACAC